AGAGAGAGAGAGAGAGAGAGAGAGAGAGAGAGAGAGAGAGAGAGAGAGAGAGAGAGAGAGAGAGAGGGAGGGAGGGAGGGAGGGAGGGAGAGAGAATCCCATTCAGATTGTTAGTTATGGCTAAATCCAGAATTTCAGCTTCAGAACTGGCCTAAACTCCAATCCCAGTCCATATGATGCTACTTCTTATGGATTTTTTTCCTTTCATTGAATAGACAAACATGTTTATTTCTCATAGATTATTACTCCTTATTTGATTACTTTATATGAATTGAAATATTGTTTTGTATATCCCACCCCATCAAATTTATTGTTTGAATATTATTTCATTATTTTTATATAATTGATTTCAAAAATTTACCAATAAAGGAGCATATTTAGAGTTCAGAGTTGAAATGAGGGATAGTTGGTGCTCTCTGAGCTTGGTTGTTTTCTTGCAGATGTTTCATTACCCAAACTAGGTAACATCATCAGTGCATTGATAATGAAAACAACCACACTCAGAGAGTACCAAGGACTCCTCATTTCAAAAATGTATTACTAAACTGTTTAATTGGTTAGTAATAATAGACTCAGACATCTGATTTGCAGGGGCATGTTTAATAACCTCATTCTAAAGAACCCAAGGATACTGGCATTGTGATAAGCTCTAGTTCATTATATGAGAAAATATGTTTATGATGACATCCTTTGGATTGTCATGAGGACAAATGGAAGCATGTTAAAGCTGCTGTCTGGATGTGTTATAAGTTGTTCCATGGTCTTCCTTGACCCATTCACATTTCCTTCATATCTTTATTTTGTGATTTGATCTTCAGACAATACTTTTGGTTTTTTTAAAAAAATAAGGAATTTCCTATGAGAGTGATTCAGTGCTGCATTAACATACATAAACTTATTCAGCACTCACACATTCTTGACTTTCTTTCTTCTGGTTTGACATATCCTTCTTACAAAATTCCCAACAGCCATGGCCTACAACTCATTTTAATATATTTGTGAGAAACTCCACTCACAGTTTCATTTACCAAAGTGGACAAAAGTACACTGTTTTGTACACCTAGTTTAGGCTTTTCAACAAACACTCATTCTTGCAACAGGCCACAATCCACCTCTTCTTTTCTTCAAGCATTTGTGTGTATTAACATTTCTTCATCTTTTGCCCAACTTTAATAAACATTCTACTAAGAGTCCATCTACTTGCTATTTTGCTCCTTTGAAGAAAAGTTCTTCAGTAGTGGAAGAGGATAAGTTCCAAAGCCAAGGCTTAGTTTCCAAGCCATGTTGTGGAATGAAGTAAAAAAAAAAAAGTACTTTGTGAAAATAAAGTTCTTTCAGGTCTTTTAGTAACTACTCTCTGCCTTTAAATTTATTTGGTGATATATATGAGTACTGTTTTCTGAGCTAATCTAGAATTAAGTCCCTTTTAGATTTGTACCTGTGGAATTTTATAGATGCTAAAGACAGCAGAAAGATGATCAAACCGTTCAGAATCTATCACTTCAAGAACTGCCAGCAGGTTTCTTTGTCTTCCACATCTGTAGTTTGGGACATTCTCCTGCCCTGTAGACAGCAAATCCAGCATGCCCTCATATAGTATTCTTGCATTAAAAAAGTTCTCATAGATGTTGTAGCCCAGGGTGATGTTGGGTAAGAGCTTTGGATTCTGGTTGATCTCACGAACAGTCAAAAGAAAGGGCAGGATATGGTAGAAGCTGGTCAACTCACTGCAACATAACAGATATTCAGAGTTCATCATTTTAATTTAGATTTCATTTATCAATTCATAAAAGTATGCTATATTTGCATCTATATATTTGTATCTATATAGTGCAATGCTGGAAAACTAATCAGACATTCATCGCTCAGTTAAAAAATTGGAAACCCTTGAATCATTTTTTTTTTGCCTTTTCCATGTGATAGAAATCTTTGGAGATTTCTATTAGAGCAACACTCCAATTGATCCCAACAGAAGCTTCTTCCCAAAACAAACACCAAAGAGTTATGGTGAACTTGTTATATCAGGATCAGAGGAATCCTACGAAAATCACCAGAGCTGATCCTAACTATAATTTTCTCCAAGTTATGACTTGGGGGAGCGGGGTAAAATTGGGAAAATAATCCATATACATTCACTAACTCAGTTGGGGAAACTAGTAAAAGAAAGTGGAGAAGTTTCTTAGTACTGTAATTGCTTCAGTCTGTTTAAATAAACTTTTGCAAAACCAAACATTTGTTTATTTTATTTACAGGTCTTACAGGGCTACCTATGACTCTAGGAGTCTCACAACAATCCATAATAGTTAAAAGGAAATACCCTTCTCCTCAAAGGTCAATCCAGACATCTCAATCACAGCTCAATCCCCCATCCCAGTGCTTGGGAAAAGAACCAGATCTTCATAGTCTTCCAGAATGCTAAAAGGGGGATATGTCATCATTGTATTATATTATTTCTTCCCATTATACTACCCAGGAGGTGACTAATTCTGGATTCAAGTGGTGTTTTAGCTCTTGAGCAAGTGTAGCATATTACTCATCTGGATATGGTCCACTTCTCAACAAGCCACCTTTAGTCCAAGAGATTGTTTTGCTACAGGATATTGATGGCTTTGGAGTTATTGCACTATATTGAAGAATCTTTAATGTGATCCTCTTCAGCCAAACCATTAGCTTATTATGTCTCTATTCTGCTTGAATTTGGTTTTCAAAAGGTATTCCTTTATTTAAACAAAGGGTGAAATGGGAGTCATAAAAGCTTGGAAAACATGTAAAAGACATTGGTTGGAATGAAAGCTTGGAAAAAGATGAAGGAAGGATAGAGCAGAGATATAAAAGAGGAGATGGTGGGAAACAGTCTTAAGAGGTCTCCTTCTACTCAAAAATATTGGGTCACTTGACTGTGCCATTATATATGTCTGATTTATAAATAAAAATAAATATTTGCTGACTCTCCACAGTAATAATTTTGGGGGGCAGAAGCCCACTTAGACAAAAGTCATCCTGGGAGAGTTTTGCCAGGACTGCCCAGTGCTGAGGCTGACTTTTGTGGAGAAACTTAAAAGGAACTTTGCATCTTAACTTTTGCAAAATCATCATAGCAGTAGCACTTAAACTTATATACCATTTCACAGTGCTTTACAGCCCTCTCTAAGTGCTTACAGAGTCAGCATATTGCACCCCCAACAATCTGGGTCCTCATTTTACTGACCTCAAAAGGATGGAATGTTGAGTCAACTTTGAGGCAGTGAGACTCAACTGCCGAACTGCTGGCAGCTGGCAGTCAGCAGAAGTAACCTGCAGTTCAGCATTCTAACCACTGCACCACGATAGATAGATAGATAGATAGATAGATAGATAGATAGATAGATAGATAGATAGATAGATAGATAGATAGATAGATAGATAGATAGATAGATAGATAGATAGATAGATAATGGATGGATGGATGGATGGATGGATGGATGGATGGATGGATGGAGCGAGGGAGCGAGGGAGCAAGGGAGGGAGGGAGGGATGTGCTTTAGAAGCCTTTTCCTAAAGCAAATTGGGAGAAAATAATAACCTGCCTTTCTCAAGGTGAGGAATTGGGGAATGGAAAGTATTCCTAGAAAAAATGCATTAGAACATGTAAAATCATCAGAATCCTGTACATGGAGAAAATTACATTTTCAATCGGTGGGTTGGTGGCTTGGAGAAAACATATGGATATAGTTGAGAAATCATTCCTGATGTTATTCCACTAATCAGGTAGTATCCTGGCTTGTAGTAATTAAACTCCTTTTTTTCTTCTATTATCACTTTCAATGAACACTTTATCAGCATTGTGGCACAAGGAAATTTGGACAGAAGTTGAAGCAGAAAAAACTGTATTTGCAGCAGCAGCATTTAACATGTATTGATGGAGATTCTTCCTATAGTTCTGTCTTTGGCACAGAGTTGGACCTCAATGCTCACAAAAGAGCACAACTGCAGTGAAGATGGTCCAGCTTGGCCCCATATCAAGGTAGACAAATCTGCAATTTCAGACTGGCAAAGTCCCTGCCCAATTCTATCACATCCTGCTTTCAGCAGAGCCCAAGTTGGATACCATGTCAGATTTTCAATTGTTGTATATACCATTTCCATCACATCAGTTTACAACAAATGGTAGTGATGGGAATCCCATAAACTTTGTTTAAAATAGAATAAATAACGATAATTTTGATAATTAGAAGGGGAATTGGGAACAGTTGTTGTAACAGCTATGCAGTTGGGAAAAAAACCAATTTTGCATAACTCAAGGGTATAGTTCTAGTTTAAGAGTCAGGAAGGGAACACTTCAGAGAAGTTTGCCTTTTACTCCGCAAACTTATTCCTGATTCTAAATTCTGCAATGTGTTAAAACAATTAAACACTTTTTCACTAGTCAGTAGGGACATTAGAATTTCTTATTATTCTCTCTATTGTGAATGAGATAATCTTCCTCAAAGAAGGTTGGATATTCCAGAATGATTATCTTCATAAGTTGTAAAAAAAAAAAAAACCTCATCAGAAGCCCCTGTTAAAAGTTTACCTCTATCTTTTTAAATAGGGAAGATATTTAAATAGGGAAGATATAAGGAATGGTTGCTGGAATTGGGTATGTCTAGTTTAACGAAGAGAAGGATGAGGGGGGACATGATAGCAGTGTTCCAATATCTCAGGGGCTGCCACAAAGAAGAAGGAGTCAAGCTATTTTCAAAAGCTCCTGAAAGCAGGACAAGAAGCAATGGATGGAAACTAATCAAGGAGAGAAGCAACCTAGAACTAAGGAGAAACTTCCTGACAGTTAGAACAATTAACCAGTGGAACAACCTGCCTCCAAAAGCGGTGAATGCTCCAACACTGGAAGTTTTTAAGAAGAGATGGACAGTCATTTGTCTGAAATGGTGTAGGGTTCCTACCTGAGCAGGGGGTTGGACTCGATGACCTCCAAGGTCCCTTCCAACTTTATTATTATTATTATTATTATTATTATTATTATTATTATTATTATTATTATTATTATTATTATTATTATTATTATTATTATTATTATTATTATTCTTCAAGATTAGAGATAAGATCTGGTAAAAATTTCCTGGATGCTGCTGCGATGCCTTGGATTTTATTTTGTGTTTTGCTTAATTTGCATTGGCTTGCCATTAGTGCGTTAATCTGAAAAATGGCCTTTTTTATTTTCATTTTTATTTTCATTTTTATTTTTCCTTTTTTCACTATACAACAAAAATAAAACTGAAAAATACATTTTTCCCCTTAACAAAACTGTGTTATACATCTCATATATATTATTTACAATTTATTTACATTAGTAATCATGTCTTTTTCTTTCTTTGTTCTAGCCAATCATAACATTTGTTTCATATTTCATAAAATTCTGTTGCCTCCTTGTCTTTTAATTCTAGCGTAAGTTTATTCATTTCTGCGCATTCAATAATTTTGTATATAATCATATCATTTGTAGGTATGTTTTCACCATTCCAACACTGAGTGTATACTGGCCTTTTACTGACTTGTTTATGATGTGATCCTTTTTGCTGCCAGTTACATAGATTTCCTAGTAGGGGACTAAAAGATGGTGCTAATTTGGTGCAATATCAACAATGGCTGAAGGTGAAGGAGTTAAGAAAATCTGAGAAGGTAACCCCATAGACCAGGTCTAAATACATCTAATTAGTATCAACTAATGAGACCACTACTCATTGCATCTAGAAACCTCCTCTAAAACATGTGATGAAACATAAATTAAGTAGTAACTTAGTTACATATCTTGTCTGTATCAACCCTGAAAATAGTCAATTGCTTCACAGAAGAAAATGAATCTGATGTTCTGATTTATATATAGGAGTTAATGAGCTGCCAAAACATAATGGGTCGAGTTGTGACTATATTTCAAAATATATTTTTACTGTACTTGGTCAAGGCCTAAGTTGCATGGTTGTAAAATAGATAAAGAAATATTTATGGAGTCAAAAATGATCAATGGGCAATAGCCATGAAGTGCTATGAAGCATGCTGTTAAATGGAAGCTGAAGGGTGAAACAGAAAAAAACCATTGTCTTTTCAGCCCTATGACATTGACAACAATGTGTACCACCATGCAATCTTCAAAAGGTTAGGTTTAGATTTTGCACACAGAAAATTTGGGGAGATCCAAGACAAAGCAGTTCACATTGGTCTAATAATAGTTCAGGTTCTTCCTTAGTGGAACAATTTTGTGAGTACTCAAGTAATTAGTAGTACTTTAGCTACCCCAGAAGATGAAATACTGATTTGTCAGAAGCAAGCATGGTGACTACTTGAAAGGATGTTAGCAGAAAAGACTAGGGCTACATGCTAGACTAGGAAGTTGAGAAAAACATATTGGAGAGAGACAAAGTTCTTCCATACTGTTTCTAGACAATTACATAAGCATAAGCCAGAGTTTTATCTTTTTTTCTAAATTAAGTTAAATAATTTTATATCTTGTCATAACACATAATATTTCTGTAATGGGCCAGGCCTTCATGGTGACTACACACATCAATGTGACTGGTTTTGTTTTGTTTTTGCAGAATTCAAAAAAATGAGGTATTTAAAGATGATATTTTAGTCTAATCCGATAATTAGACTAAAATATCACCTCCTGAACACAGATATTCCAGGGAGTTGTCCTAAATACAGGAAGAGGCCTCATCCATACCAGAAGTAGGTAGCAAAGAATTTAATGTTTTCAGTGGCTAGTTAAAAACTGTTCACTTGTCTTAGCATATTGCAACATTTAGTATTTCAAGGAATCACTTTGGTGAGTAAGAAGCAGTCAAGCTTTCCAGAACCAGTCCCTTGAGGGAACACATAAACACTTAAGTTGCAACTATGCCCCTGGGTCACAGAGATTTCTTATAGAGAACCCACTGTGATCAATTCTCTCTTTATGATTAACAAAATGATGGTGATTTATTCTACTTCCAGAAAATCCCCTGGAATTCACCTCCTAAGAAAGCAAACTGAGAATACTTAACTATTTCCCTTCAACAGTACTTAACAAATATTTGGTAACTTTTCATATAAAAATTCTGAAAATAATTCCATCCCTTCAAGAATGTCAGATGGGATTTATGTAACCAGGGCCCTATACTAGCATGACATTTTATGCTTCTCTTTCCATTTTTGCTGTCAGGATGTCTCTCATCTTTGGTGAGAGAATATTGCTTCTCCTACTCTGAGACCAAAGACACTGGCTTCTCTCTCAAAGAGTATAGCAGGTTTCCCTCCTGGTATGGGAAATGCTGCTGCTGCTGCTTTTCCTGGTGTCCCATTTTCCCTGTGCAGCACTGATGATCAGATGTCAACTGAATGTGTTAGAAGGGGAAAAGTACATGTTAAATTATTACATTCCAGGAGATTATCTGATTAGTGGAATCATATCTACATCCAGTTCTGTAGTTCAACCATATAGTTTCTTCATGCCTCCCACCAACAAATTTGTAAGGTAATTACTGATGTGCACTGAATATGATCATCTTCTTTTTAGTACAGATTCCCACTTCCTAGTACAATATCACTGTCACCTTTTTTTCCTCCCCATGTGCTTTAAAGAAAACACTTATTCTATTTAAGGCATATCATGCATTTTGACAGGTTTTTTAACTCCTGAGAGCCACTGTCACTCTCACAAAATACGGTAGTTGTAGGGTAGATGGAGCTTGGTTCTTCACAACATGACTCTGACTGATGCCAGTGAGAGTCACCTAGCTGAAGGCGAAGAGGAGACCCTTTTCACCATATCTTCTTATTCCCTACAATGTTGTCTATGATACACTTCAGTCTCTCTCTCTCTCTCTCTCTCTCTCTCTCTCTCTCTCTCTCTCTCTCTCTCTCTCTCTCTCTCCCCTCCTGGACATAGCCCTCAACTGTTCACTTATAGATTTATTTTGCATATTAAATCATGGGCCAATTTACAGCAATAAACATCTGACTATATTTCCTACATTGCAATGTAGTGAGAGTGAGGATCTCATAACCTATTAACCTCCTCAGCCCTTCATGAGATGACCCAGATGAGTTTTTAGAATGACCCTTCCCATCACTCTTCCATTGACTTCAGAATAGATTTCAACTGTTCATGTAAAAGATAGAAATATACCAGTAGCTGATGATTCATAGATTCCCTTAAAAGGTTACCCCCCAAAAGATATGCTTTTATGAGCCGAAGATAAAAATTCATATAAAAAATGAAGATCTATTAATATATTTTATCTTGCAGTAAGTTTGTGAGTTTTGTTCATATCCTACCCTTTGTCTTTGCCATTCATGAGATCAACCAGAATCCAAGGCTCTTACCAAACATCACCCTGGGCTACAACATTTATGAGATACTTTTCAATGCAAGGATAACATATGATTCCATTATGGATTTGCTATCCATGGGACAGGAGAATGTCCCAAACTACAGTTGTGGAAGACCAAAAAATCTGTTGGCTGTGCTTGAAGGGACTGATTCTGATCTCTTCAGTCATCTTTCAGGCATGCTGAGCATCTACAAAATGCCTCAGGTATGAATGAAAGTTCAAGGTACATTTTTAAAAATAATACTTTTCCACTATACACCTAAATATTTTTTTCTTCAGTCTGGGGTCAGTTTACAGCATAGCTTTTGAAAGATAGATTGATTTTGCAGAGCTCCCCTTTTTTACTGCTGAAATAGATTCAGACTATCCATACTTCAACTATAGTGCTGAACTGGATTCAGACTATCCATATATTAACTGTAGGGTTCTCAATGACACATGAAAAGCATACCTTTGCACTTGGAAATAACTTTAAATTAAGCACTCATATTTGTTCCTAAGAGCTAGATAAACACTCATCTTTTCTGTTTCATCATAGATCAACTATGGGGTCATCAGCCACATTCCTGAACAGAAACATCATTTCCCTTTTTTCTACCGGATGAGTCCAAAACAAGAACCTCCTCACTTGGCGATTGTCAAACTTCTCCTCCATTTCCAATGGATGTGGATCGGCCTTGCTGCTCCAGACAATGAAAATGGAGAAAAGTTCAGAAGAACTTTTACAGTTGTGGCTACCAAGAAAGGAATCTGTGTTGCATTCTCAGAAATCCTCCCTGTGTTAAATAAAAAGAAAACAAAGGCCCTTCTTCAATATTTTAGCAACAACCAAGCAAATGTTATTGTTTGTCAATTAGATTTTCAGGCCTCATTTATACTAACAATAATAATACATGATATTGAAAAGACTAATGAAATATTTGGAAAGAAAGTGTGGATTACAACAGCTTTGACAGACATAGGTGTGAGATATTTTTATCAATTTGTTAATCTCCAGCATAAACACTTCTTGTTATCCTTCTTAACCCAGACAAACAAAAGGACACAAACCTATGATTTAAATGCATATTTCTCTATTCTAAAAACATTTGTGAAGACAGCATTTCAGTGTTCCTATTCAAGCCCAAAGTTGTCAAAGAGAATTTGGGGAAGATGCACAGAAAAAGAGAACTGGGAAATCCCATCCCATGATGTGGTTGCAGACATTTTGTCTGAGGATGGCCACAGTATTTCCACTGCAATCCAGGCTGTCTCCTGGATCCTTCATCTTGTCTTTTCTTCTCACCTGAGTTGGAGAAGGATGCAGGTTGGCAATCATCTGGTATCTCAGGTAGTACAGCCATGGCAGGTAAGATTTTCCTTATTTAAAGTTCTAGTGACAAACCATTCAATTCTTCAGTTTCATGATGGGAAAGAAATGACCAGGACATGGGGTGGAGTGCTGTACAGTTTCCCAGTTTTTCATGTGTGTTCTATGTAGGGTGAGAAGAATGAGAGAGGGAGATTTCCTATGTCTGCATCTTTTAAACTGAATACTTGTGCTGGTTTAGGATGCTATAAGAAAAAGGAATGATGCCTCAATAGAGAGTCCCATTCCACATCTATAGATTAAATAGCCACCAGGATGTCACAATAATCTTCAAATTTTCCTTGATCATCCAACCTTGACTTTGTCTTCTGTGAAGATCTGGACATCTCAAATCTGTCCCTCTTCTCAATATCTTCAGGGAACAACCAGGTCAATTGCTGAAGTTCTCTTCCTTCTTATAATACAGAGAATTGATGTGGGGGAGAGGGTTTTGTTTCAGATGACATAAACAAGGGGATGAAGAACAATCTCCAAGCAGAGGACGAAGAAGGGAAAGTTAGGTAACAGAGATGAAGTGGAAAGATTGCATTGGCAAACCTACCAGCAAAGATAGAATAATTCAGCATCAGGTTGCTGAAGATGATTCAAAAACAGAGTAGAGTCAAACTTCCAGGCAAAGAAATTTGGGATATTGGTGTTTTAGCCAAATCTATCACCAAAGATGGTTGGCACTTTAGATCACTATTGGGGAACCAGACGTAGTGAGATGCCCAGCTTACCCAGAGTCGGATAGCTGGTCAAAATATGTTGTGATCTGAGACTAGCAACTTCATAAAAGGGATCAGGCCAGAGTGATAAAGAGTTAACCCTTACTTGGATTCTTTTTGCCAACATTTGCAGACAGAGGCATTGAGTTGAAGCAGTTTATTTTGAATTTTGACTCTACTCTGTCTTTGAAAATGACAGACATAAGGTAATGTCTGTCATTTTAGCTTCATCCTTTCCTAAGAAACTTTCAGCTTTACAATCTGTCCGTGGATAATATTTATTTGGATGAGGATGGAAATCCTGTTGCTAACTTGGATATCATAAACTGGGCAATGTTTCCCAACAAGTCTACTGTTGGAGTGAAAATTGGGAATATACAAAGAGAGGCCTCTTCAGAAGTTAAGATCTCCATCAATCAGAGTGCCATCAAATGGCCAACATCATTTAACCAGGTGGCTGAGTTGTGATTATTGTTGTCATTGTATTATTTATCTGCTCCTATAGATTGAAACTGAAGTCTTGCCACTCTGATAGAGGATCCGGGTTGAAGGACTCACAAAATCCCTATTGTTAAGTGTGTGGGTGCCAGAATTGTTCTTGGGCAGGATGGAAATTATATGGTTGGTTAGTCCAATACTACTTGTATATAAGGAAGTTAAGCAGGCCAATAAAGCCATTTTAAGGCAGGTGGCTTCTTCCATGCTGGATCCTGCTTTAAGACTTGAATACAGGAGACAGATGTGGGCAGAGATACAACAAGTTATAGTGGATGTTGTCTTAGCAATTGCTGAGATAGGAGCAAGCAACCTTTTGCATTCCCTGCTTTGTATTACACTCCCCCTTTTTTTTATTGTTGGCCAATCATGCCGAAGATGATGAGATGTGGTATCCATAGCATATGTTCAGAGTTCCATCTGAACTTTGAGTGGACTTTGGGACAAAATGGAATAGGTTCTCCTGCTTGAGCAGGGGGCTGGACTAGAAGACCTCCAAGGTCCCTTCCAGCTCTATTCTATTCTAAAAATCATGTTGAAATTCAAGCTTTTGGGGGAAAAGGATGGTATTTTCAATGACTTTGTGACAAAAGTATTTTCATTGTATTTTGAAAGAAACATTAAAATTACATGCTTGAGTTTTCTAAATTGGAATCTTCTGAATTATTTTCATAAGCAATACCTTAATTTTTATACTTCTCCAATTTTATGTTTAGAAGGCACCTTTTTCTAGGTGTACTGAAAGTTGTCTCCCAGGATACAGCAAGGTGATGAGAGAGGGAGCACCGATTTGCTGCTATGACTGCTCTCCATGCATTGAAGGAACAATTTCCAGACAGGAAGGTGGGTGGCTCAAGACCAAAGAAGACATCCCATTCAAGTATAAACCAAACCTGACCCTGCTTAGCTCACAAACTGAATCAAGTTTGTCAAATCCTGCCACCTGCTGAAAGACATAACCTACTTGTGACCTATCAAACTATTTCTCTCTCAAAATGCCCCATGATCCAGATAATTGTGGATGCAGATACGTCTTCCTAAGACTAGGTATCTGGTCTTTCTTGTGATTATTGAAGTATGTTCTATCAGCATAAGACAAATATAGGAAATATATGTTTAGGCAAAACATAGAAATCATTTAGGTTCAGAATTGGCAGCATGACAAACAGGGAACCTAGGATAAATAACTAATGTTCACTGCCTTTTTTTGGTAAATAAGTTATGATGTGTTAAACATTACTGGATTCATTACTTACACAGCAATTACTTACATTTCTCAGATGGAGCCCACTGTGAAAAATGTCCAGATGAGCAGCATTCCAATAAGAATGGAGATCAATGTGTCCCCAAGGTTTTTAGTTTCTTGTCTTATCAAGAAACATTAGGTTTCAGTCTGGCTCTGATTGCCTCTTTTTTGTCTTTTACCACTGCCTTTGTCCTGGGAATCTTTATTAAAAACCGAGAAACTCCTATAGTCAGAGCCAACAACCGGGACATCACATATATTCTTTTAGTCTCTCTTCTTCTGTCCTTCTTAACCTCCCTTCTATTCATTGGTCACCCCAAGAAAGTGACCTGTCTCCTTCAACAAACCGCCTTCAGTGTTGTCTTTTCAATGGCAGTGTCTTCTTTGCTAGCAAAGACTGTCATGGTGGTGGTAGCATTTCTGGCCACAATGCCAGCCAGCAGGATGAGGAAATGGCTGGGGAAAAGTCTTCCCAATTCGATTGTCTTATTTTACACTGGTACTCAGATTGGTATATGTATCATATGGCTGGGAATCTCTCCTCCCTTCCCAGATTCTGATCTGCATTCCCAACCAGGACAGATTCTTCTAAAATGCAATGAAGGATCTGTCACCATGTTCTATACCACACTGGGCTACCTGGGCTTTTTGGCTACCATCTGCTTCTTAGTGGCTTTCCTAGCCCGAAAACTGCCGGGGACTTTCAACGAAGCCAAGTGGATCACCTTCAGCATGTTGGTTTTCTGCAGTGTTTGGATCTCCTTTGTCCCCACCTACCTGAGCACTAAAGGAAAATATATGGTGGCTGTGCAGATTTTTTCCATCCTGGCCTCCAGCTTAGGTTTACTGGTCTGCATTTTTGTTCCCAAATGCTACATCATTATTCTGAACCCTCACATGAATACCAAGCAGCACTTAAGGATGAAAAACTTTGAGAGGTATTGATTAATAGTACTTTTTTTCTAAATAATTACTAATATAAAATAAAATAGTTTGGAAATAAAATTCTTTTTATGTGTTCTAATATGTCTGATTCTTGAGATGCCTGGAATGCAAGTATTTCTATCATGCCAAACTGTTTAGTTGAGAAGAAAATCCAACTGGATTGACCATGCAAATGTTTCCGGTATGGGAAATATGTTCCTTAACCGGCATGTCCTGTGGATCATCACACTGAAGAGAAGTAGTGTCAATGTTAAGAGTAAGAGAAATATTTTGCAGATCAAGGCTTCTTGGTCAAGGAAGGGGCACAATTAGTGCACCAGATGAATCTGTGCAAATGCTTCTTTAGCCATGACTGCCACCTGTTCCTTGAGTAGGAACCATGAGTGTAGGAGGATCCCCACATTGCAGAATAGCTCAATCCCTGCATCCACCCCAGTGTCATCTTCTATTAGAATTTCTGAACTGAACAGTTTTTAAAAAAAGGGAATATAAGTATTCCTCTCCTTTTTCTCCAAGCTGATATGGATAAATCCCCTTCCTATATTCAGGCCAGATGTCAGAATCATTATCTCCAACAAAAGACAATCAATATTTTTGACTACAGTTATTATGACATTTAGGATGTTAAATAGGAGTGGGAAGAGAGTCAAGCCTTCAGCACTCCATAAAGCAGAGGCCTAAGACTCAATATTGCTCTCTGTACACCAACTGAAATCAGTCGTGGAAGGAGAAGGAGAACCATAGAAGATATGTGCTTCCCAGTCCCAATTATCTCAGGCAGCCCAAAACCATAGCATAACTGATGGCATTAAAAGCTAGATTCTAGAAAGAGTGCAGAGAAGAGCAACAAAGATGATTAGGAGAATGGAGGCTAAAATGTATATATAGAAGTGTTGCTGGAATTGGATATGTCTAATTTAATGAAAAGAAGAAGTAAGGGTGACCTGATAGCAATATTCCAACCCCAATATCTAAGGGTTGCTATTCTGTTATTTTATGGACCAGGTTTGATCCATCACATCCAACTCAAGCCTACCAGAAGTCATTTACAAGCATGATCAATGGTGTCTTGTACTGTATTCTGGCCTCAACCATGACTGCCATAGGTCCATAATCTATTTCTTTTAGAGCATTTTTAAGCTGTAGGTGTCAAGGTTCCGACTGACAAACTCAACAAAGTAAACATAGCCGAGATAATCCAATTCTAATGCAAAACTTTATTGAGCACTTTATTTTGACACAGGTGAAAGGAAAACCAGCTCTAGTTAACTGGTGCTTAAATCAGTATATTAAAACCATAGAAGTTTCTCTTCCCCCTAATCATATAGGTCACTTTATCCAAGTAAGTGTTAGACTCTTGTTATGAGAGAATGTCTTTAGTTCTCAGAAGACAACTTTCAAGAGACCTTGGTTTTCACAGACTGGCAGCTCGATATCTGAAGTCCACATTCCATTCACCCTTCCCATCCCCCTGAGTCGGTAGGCAAGCTAAGAAGCAGTAATGGATGAAACAGCATAAAAATTCTTTAAAGCTTGACAGTAGGCCTATGAGGTTTCTTTGTTTTCTAAGAACTGCACCTTCTCCAAAAATAGGCTGTTGCTTTGGATTAACTCCTAGGTTTTGTAAACTGATGGGGACACATAAATAAGTCTTTCATGCTCAGTCCTTAAAACAAATAGAATCTTAAAAAGTATATAAAGTGGCATATCACCTGGACCTCCCTAGCATTTCAACAATAATTTTGTAAATAAAAGGAATCCACTTTCCTGAATGGTCACTTGATGGACCAAGTAAACACTTCAACTGGAATTATATACAGTATATGGGTCACACAAATGTATGTCTCCATTGATTCATCTGCAGATGAAGTCCCATCAAGTGTCCACTGTGATTCCCTCTCCCTTTACAATTATCAAAATCAGGATGTTTCATTTGATATTTGCACTGAGCATATATCTCCAGTATGTTGGAGTCCAGAATCTCGATTGCCTGCCCCATCTGTAAAATTCTCTGGGATAACTTTCTACTTCCTGGGACATCCAAGAAGAAAAACGAATGTCCTGCCTGTAATGGTCAAATGTGGCAATTTTCCTTAAAATCCTAAAGGTGATTATAAGTCCATGAATTGTATCAACACAGTACTATAGAAACCTGAAATCAATAAACAGTCTAGCAACCCAATAAATCCTCTCTATACCACCTTTCCATTCCTCTCACTCATGTCATTCATGCAGCTAGATGGATCAGATTTTCAATCAGATCTTTCATTCACATCCCAGCATTTTCTTCCTCTTGATCTTGTTCTCCAAACTCTTTATCTACTGGTTTACAGGGGTAAAATTCCAGTTCTTCATTGCCTCAGCTGCCAATAAGCTTCATTGGAATTGTTGAACAAGCCTCGTGTGTTTTTCTCTACTACTTCTTCATGAATAATCTTTTTAATTGCCTTCTGTCATGTCTGAAGCTTGGCTCTCTTTGCAAACCCCACTCATAGCCAGACAAGAAGTAAAGAAGAAAGACAATGATTGGAATGTAAGGGAGGTATTGAGAGGAGAGCCAAAGGAATGTAAGAGCACCAACTCGAAGCCTGCAGCTATACCATCACCTCAAGGTCAAATGCTGGGAAAGTCTACTAAACAAAGAGTACATTACCCAAACAAAAAAAAAATGAATTGGAGGGAAAAAATGACTGTGAATGGGCCAGGAAAAGAGGGGAAAAGCTTTTCTACTTCCGTATCCATGCCAGCTCAGGTAATTGTACTCTTGGAAAATGAAACTGCCCCAGGAGTCTTTTTGCTGAATGGACTATGTGGAATAGTTGACACCCTCCTAATTTCAAAAGTCTTTCTTCTTTTTCTTTCCCTCTATTTTCCACTACCATATCTAAATCCCATGCTTTCTATATGCTCCTGAGCCAGTTCTTTCTTCCCCTATCCCAAACTACTGTAGCTTCTTGCTCTCTGCTCAATGCATGATATTTGTGATAATGATTGTGATGAGTGATAATTCTCCCTTCTTATTTATTCATCTTGTACTGAAAGGATATTGAAGTAATGTAAATTAGAAGACAAATAACATGGTTTTAAATTGCTGGAGGAAACATCAATAACCTTCACTATGCTATTTATTGATAGTAAGATTAATCACACGGGAGAGAGTTCTTAGAGCAAATAATAAAGAATTCACAATGTCTCATTTTATCCTAGCAATAATTTGGATAAAAATAACTGCCAAAATCAAGATCACTCATTGTTTTTCATCATTAGATGCTCCTTCACGTTCATGTCCGGTCTCAGAAGGATGATGTAACATTTGGGGACAAAGATGCAACCGAGTAAGCCAAGGCTGGAGGTCAGGATGGAGAAGATCTGCACAGCCACTGTGTATTTCCCTTTAGTGCACAGGTAGGCGGGGACAAAAGAAACCCAAACACTGCAGAAAAGCAGCATGCTGAAGGTGATCAACTTGGCTTCGTTGAAGCTCCCTGGTAGTTTTCGGGCTAAAAAAGCCACTAAGAAACAGATGGAAGCCAGAAAGCCCAAGTAGCCAAGGGCAGAATAGAACATGATGACTGAACCTTCATTGCATTGCAGCAGGATCTGTCCTTTTTGGGAATATAAGTCAGAATCTGGGAATGGGGGAAAGATTCCCAGCCATATGAAACAGATGCCCACCTGAATACCAGAGCAGGAGAAGATGATGCAATTGGCCAAAGATTTCCCCAGCCATTTCCTCATTTTGCTTCCTGGCTTTGTAGCCAGAAATGCCATCACCACCATGATAGTCTTGGCCAGCAAGGATGACACAGCAACTGAGAAAACAACACTGAAGACAGTTTGTCGAAGAAGGCATGTCACTTTCTGGGGTTGACCAATGAATAGAAGGGAAGTCAAGAAGGAAAGCAGGAGAAAGATCAGCAGAATGTAGGTGAGATCCTGGTTGTTGGCTTTGACTATAGGAGTTTTTCTGTATTTAATAAAGATTCCTAGAACTAAGGCAGCGGTAAAAGACAAAAAAATTGCAGAGACAGCCAGTATGAAACCTAAGTTTTCTCTGTAGGACAGAAACATTATAACTTTGGGGACACATTGATCCCGCTTCTTGTTGGAATGGTGGTCATCAGGACATTTTTCACAATGGACTACATCTGGAAAACACAAAGTACTGTTTTTTTAATCAAGTGATTAAGTGACATTCAGGACATCATGACCAACTGACCAGAAACGGGATGTATGTAGATAGAGTAATGAAGATTTTTTATTTTTTTAAAAAAAATAAGGTATTATTGTAATAATAAAATGTAATAGAAAATGGTCTGTGTTGGATAGGGATAATTGAGTAACTCAAAAAGAAATAATTACTAAGCATTAATAAAGTACAAAATTATGATTATGGAAAAACAAATGCTCAAAACCTGGGGAACAAACAGGGCAAACTAGAAGCAATAGTATACAAGGGTGGGTATGACATAGTTGACATTACAGAAACCTGGTGGGATGAAACCCATGAATGGAATGGACTGATGGATGGATACAAATTGTTAAAAAAAAAACAAGTCTACAAAAAGAGGAGGGGGAGTTGCACTATATGTAAGAGAACACTACATATCTACAGAAATGCACCTGATCAAAGATAAAACTTCTCCAGAATGTATATGGGTCAATATAAAAGAGAAAAAAGTGACATTGTCATAGGTGTATATTACACGCCACCCAACCAATCAGTAGAAATAGATGAACTCTTTGCCAACCAGTTAACAAATGTATGTAGGAAGCATACCACAGTAGTAATGGGAGACTTCAACTATCCAGATATCAACTGGGAGACAAACTCTGCAGTGAGCGGGAGATCAAACAGATTCTTACCAACCTAGCCGACAACTTTATCATCCAAAAGGTGGAGGAGGGAACTAGACATAAAGCTATACTGGACTTAATTCTTACCAATAGAGAAGAAGTGATGGAGGGAGCTGAAGTTGCCAGAACCTGGGGTGAAAGTGACCATGTCATACTGGAATTTAATATAATGCAAACACTAGCAATAGAAAATAATCCAACCAGTGTCTTAAACGTCAAAAGAGCTGATTTCAACAACTTAGTAAAGATTACATGGATGAAAATCCTAAAGGGGAAAACAACCCAAGAAGTGGGGGAAACTCTGAAAAATGTGATCATAAAAGCCCAGGCCAGCACAATACCATTGAAAAAAAAAACAAGAAATCCAAGAAGAAACCAGCATGGCTGCACAAAGATCTCTCTGACAAACTGAAAGACAAAACGGACAATTAAAAAAATGGAAAGAGGGGCACATAACTAAGGGCTGGTTATCACCAGGCAACCAAACCATGCAAAGATGAAGTCAGGAAAGCAAAGGCCCAGAATGAACAAAGACTTGCAACAGAAATCAAGGATAATAATAAAAAAAGCTTCTTCCAACATATTAACAACAAGGAAACTGTAGGTCTACTAAAGAGTAACAGGCAACAGGAAGAAAGCAGAACTGCTTAACTCATTCTTTGCATCAGTCTTCACACAAAAAGAAACTATAGCCCAGCATATAAAAAAAACCACTGCAAAAGACAAACTAGAAACAAAAATTAAAATAAGCAAGAAAATGGTAAGAGACCACCTATCCAACCTTGACAAATATAAATCATTGGGACCCAACAGATTATACCCCAGAGTTCTGAAGGAGCTGGCAGATGTTATCTCAGAACCATTGCACCGTATCTTTCAAAACTCCTGAAGCAAAGGGGAAGTATCTGAGGACTGAAAAAGGACTGATGTGATTCCCATCTTCAAGGAAGGGGGGAAAACTGACCCAGGAAACTACAGAGCAATCAGTTTAACATCAATGCCTTGGAAGATCCTAGAAAAGATAATAAAAAAACAGATCTGTGAACAACTAGAAGCAAACAAAGTTATAACCAGTAGCCAGCATGGGTTTGTTAAAAACAGATCATGCCAAACCAATCTTATTTCATTCTTTGATAAAGTGACTAAGCTAATAGACCAGCATAATGTTGTGGACATAATATACTTAGATTTCAGTAAGGCATTTGACAAAGTAGACCACAACCTACTCCTTGGTAAACTAGAAAAAGGTGGAATAGACAACAATACAACCAGATGGATGCATAGCTGGCTGGCAAACTGTACTCAATGAGTAATCCTCAATGGCACTACATCCACATGGAGAGAAGTAAGCAGTGGGGTACCGCAAGGTTCCGTCCTAGGCCAAGTACTCTTCAATATCTACATAAATGAATTAGATGAGGGAATTCAAGGGGAACACATCAAATTTGCAGATGACACTAAACTGGCAGGAGTAGCCAACACCCAGAAGACAAACTCAGGATCCAAAAAGATCTTGACAAACTTGAACAATGAGCCCTATCCAATAAAATGAGTTTCAATGTGGAGAAAGGCAATGTTTTACATTTAGGCAAGAAAAACCAAAGGTACAAGTACAGATTGGGTGAGACCTGGCTACAAACAGTAACTATGATAGGGACCTTGGAGTCCTAGTGGACGATCACTTGACAATGAGACAGCATTGTACAGCAGCAGCCCAGAAATCTAATACTATCCTGGGTTGTATAAACAGAGGCATAAAATCAAGATCATGCAAAGTATTAGTACTGCTTTAAAAAACCCTAATAAGACCACACCTGGAATACTGCAGCCAATTTTGGTCACCATATTACAAAAAAGATGTTGAGAGTTTGGAAAAAAATTCAGAGAAGAGCAACCAAGATGATCAAAGGCCTGGAGACTAAAATATATGAAGAACGGCTGCAGGACTTGGGTCTGGCTTGTCTAAAGAAAAGAAAGAATAGGGGAGACATGATAGCAGTATTCCAATATTTGAAGGGCTGCCACAAAGAAGAGGGAGTCATATTATTCTCCAAAGCACCAGCGGGCAGGACAAAAAAACAATGGTTGGAAACTGATCAAAGAGAGAAGCAACCTGGAATTAAGGAGAAACTTCCTGACAATGAGGACAGTTAACTAGTGGAACAACTTGCCTGCAGAAATCGTGGATGCTCCATCACTGGAGATCTTTAAGAAGAGGCTGGACAGTCACTTATCTGTGATGGTATAGTTCTCCTGCATGAGCAGGGGGCTGGACTAGGAGACCTCCAAACCCCTTCCAGCTCTATTCTATTCTTCTTCTATTCTTATTTCCCCAAGCTGTATGTAGAATACACACACGCACACAATCCCCACCTCCACACATATTCTATTTGTTTGTGTGGGTGTGTTTTACTTTAAACTATAAAGATTCTTGCTAGCATCTATATTTGAATAATTCTTAAATTAGTTTTGATTAATTTCACAACTTTCTACCTAAAGTCATGCTCAAAAGGTCATGTGATGACCCAGGGCATAGCACAGAGGCAATGCAGTCAGATGGAAATTCAAACCGCTCTTTAATTGTTCCACATTTTCCCCAAATGCTCCCACATTTCTGGCAAGCCTCCAAACAAAGGAAAACGCACACACCTCTGGCTGCAAGTAGTTTCAAAAGGGAAGCTAAAATACAGTCCGAGATCTACAAACATCCAAGCAACATTATCAGGCAGTCCAAGGGTCAGAGTTTCCGGGTTTCCAAGCAGAAGTCCATAGAACAAGAGATCAGCAACAACACACACAAAACTCCAAGGAATCGGCATTTGTTCCCGGCAAAAGCTTCTCCCCACAGTGTTTCCTTAAATCTCATTCTCCAGGTATGCCTTGTGGAGAGGGGCAGGACACTCTCCTCCTGAGTAGTTGAGCCTGCCTGTGTTGTTCTCTCCACTCTCTGTGCTCTAGGATCAGGTGGCAGTGGCCCTTGCTCATCGCCTGAACTCTGTCTCTCCTGTCCAGCCTGTCCCACTCCTGAAGGGCCCTGGCCTGCCTCTGCTGCTCTACCCCACATTCCTCTGAAGCCACAGACACCTCTCCCTCGACCTCCATAGGATCCCGTTCCAGCTCATTTTCCTCCGGAGATTCAGGCTCCGAAGGAGGCATGACAGGTCTAAATATATCCGGCTATGCAATGTGTTCTACGTCCAAGAGCCATTTTTAAAAAATTTGGTTAAATTTCATCACGGACACTGTAGATCAGTGTTTCTCAATTTTGACAACATTAAGACATGTGTACTTCAACTCCCAGAATTCCCCAGCCAGAATTCCCCAACTCCCTGAATTCCATGGCTCCTGAGGAATTCTGGGAGTTCATGTCCACATGACTTAATGTTGCCAAGCTTGAGAAACACTGCTGTAAGTATTGTCAATTGTGTCATTGCTGCATATTCTCCAAATTGACCTCCCAATCTGACATCACTGACAAAATATCTATTTTTCCAATTCTCTCCTAAATTTGTTCTTGCAACTGCCAGAACAAATATCTTTGTAGTATGTGAGGTTTTGCATTTTTTTTTTTTTTTTGCTTTTTGAAAGTATACCTATAAAGAATATTTGTGATTTTGGTTCATCTTGTATAGGATTTTTCTGAATATTTTTATGTATTTCATTCCAATGCTTTTGAGGTGTTTTTTTTTGTATAACCACTACAGAAGATAAAGTGTTCCTTCTTGTCATGGCTTTTCCAACATTAAATGTTCTATGATTAGTTTATTTTGCAATTGTTAATGTAGTTTTAGAACACCTGAAAAACATTTTGCAGCAGGTTTTCCTTAAATTATAGAGTGAATTTTCTGTATTTTTCTTTTTGAAAGCTCCTCTCATTTTTGTATTGTGATTATTTCTTTGAAGTTTTGCATCCATTTTATCAAACGAATGTTTATTTATTCAATCTTCATGTCAAATTTCAAAAACAATGACTCTTAATCATAAATTTTGTTTTCTATAAGTCAGTGATGGTGAACCTTTTACAGACTGAGTGCCCAAACTGCAACCCAAAACCCACTTATGCATCGTTGAGTGCCGGGTGGGTGTGGCCCATTGGCTGGGCGTGGCTGTGGTGGTAACGGCAGACTGGGTGGGACTAAAAAGTTCAATCAATCAATTCTAACTTTGCAAGATCTTTTTTTTTCCTGCGAGAAGTTGAAATTGACTGATTGAACCTTTTTTTTTTTGCACACGGCAGCGGAGGCCTAAAGCAAAAAGGTTTTATAAAACCCAGCTGAAGGCCTAGGACTGGGGCGACGGCAGGCGTGCCCACAGAGAGGGCTCTGAGTGCCGCCTCTGGCACCCGTGCCATAGGTTCGCCACCACTGCTATAAGTGTTTCAAATGCTGTCATGTTTCTTAAGGTCTCTCGATCTTTTTCAAGTTTGCTTGTTATTGTTTCAGCAACTTGTGAAAACATCCATCATGGTGAATTCTACCTTCACTGAACAGTTCTTGCAGTGTTTTTGGTCTGTTTCCTGAATCTGGATGTAGTATATTGGTATGTGAGATCAAATCTTGCTAATACCAGAGCCATTGCAGTGTGGTGATTAGAATGCAGTATTGCAGGCTAACTCTGCCCACAGCCTGGAGTTCGATCCCGACCAGCTCAAGTTTGAATTAGCCTTCCATCTTTTGGAGGTCAGTAAAATGAGGACCATGATTGTTGGGGGCAATATGCTGACTCTGTAAACTGCTTGGAGAGTGTTATAAAGCACTAAGAAGCAATATATAAATTTAAGTTCAATTGCTATTGCTAATATATTGTCCTTAGAATAAAAGACTGGTACTCCTTCTTTGTTCTTAACTACTTACCTTCCTGCACAGAGATGGTTCCTTCCATACATGGAGAACAGTCATAGCAGCAAACTGGTTCTCCCTCTCTCATTAGCTTGGTATATCCTGGGAGGCAACTTTCCGTACACCTAGAAAAGGGGGCCTTCTGAAAAGAAAAAAAAATCAGAGAAATGTATGAATGAGATGATTACTTCTTAAAATGGAAGTGAGCACCAAAGTGGGTTCATGAATTCAAGAAGATACTTTCAAGATCTTTTTCCAAATACAATGAAAATATTTTACTTTTAGTGAAAGGTTTCCACTAGCAGTTTCATTTCAGCAGGCTATGATTCCAGAGTCCCCTCAATGTTCAGAAAAAGCTGATGACTCTCTTGTCTAGGCATCATTATCCTGGGATTTTGGACTTCAGCTTCAGCCAACTAGTCAATGATATAAAACTGTGGAAAATGTAGTCCAAAGGATGGAAAGCAAAGGATTACTTCGTCTTATCTTAGCAATTGCTAGAACACCATCTGTCGCAACATTTCCTCTGCCTTCTTACAATATGTATTTCTTAGAACTCAATTTATGATCAACTCAGTCTCAAATCAGACTCCAGTTCTGAACAAACTTTGAATAAGATTCAATAGAAGAGAATCTCTGTAACTCAGTGTTGAACTGTAAACTCCTTGATGCTCTCTGGCTTTGATTGCCTGCTTGCAGATATTTCATTGCATGACTAGATAACATTTTCAGTGCTATCATCAGGTACTAATGATGTTATTTAGTTGGGTAAGTAACCAATGAAATATCTACAAACAAACAACTAAACTCAGAGAGCACCAAAGATTCCACTGAGTAAGATGCCCTACTATAAGTCTCTCAGTGTCAAAGGCCAGTTCCCTGGTTTGTGATGCTCCTTAGCTTCTTTACATGCTAGAAACAGCTTTGAGCTAGCCAGCAACATGATTTCTATCCTACCCCAGAACAATGCTGGTATATCCACCATAAGCAATAGATAGTAATAGTAATAGTAGTAAAGTTGAAAGGGACCTTGGAGGTCATCTAGTCCAACCTCCTGCTCAGGCAGGAAACCCTATACCATTTCAGACAAATGGCTGTCCAGTCTCTTCTTAAAAAGTTTCAGTGTTGGAGCATTCACTGCTTCTGGAGGCAGGTTGTTCCACTGGTTAATTGTTCTAACTGTCAGGAAGTTTCTCCTTAGTTCTAGGTTGCTTCCCTCCTTGCTTAGTTTCCACCCGTTGCTTCTTGTCCTGCCTCTTTTCAGAAGTCCAGGAAAAATAGTAGTGTCTCCTTCAACCTGCCCTTTTAGCAGTGCTGACCCTCCATTTGAGTCAAAAGACTAATAAACCACAACATCACATGGATACATAGAAACAGGTGAATATTAAAACTCACAAAGAGGTAGACTTGGTTACCTGATTAAAAGATGTTGGCCATATGATGGCACTCTCATCAACAGAGATCTTGATATCTGAAGAGACTTCTTTTCCAATATTCCCAATTATCACCCCAGCAGCAGACTTGTTGGGAAATACTGCCCAGTCCATAATACTAAAGTCAGCAGTGGGAATTCCATACTCATCCAAATAAACATCATTTACAGAAAAATTGTAAATCTGGAATTTTCTTAAAAAAGGATGGAGCTGAAACGATATGGAGAATTACCCTTGCAATGTATACATTCTCATTTGAGCACTAAGTCAAAACAGAGGAATTTCATCCCAGTGCTTCTGTCTGCAAATGTGGTAGGGAGATTATTTTTTTCTCTCTAATTACTCTCTCCCTTTTTTTCTCTCCCACTCCCATTCTTTCTCCCACACTCTTTCCACTCTTTCTGCCTGTCTTTGTATGCTTGTCTGTCCCTCTCACACACACATACAGATCTTTTTATTGTATTATTTTGTATCCTATTCTCACAAGCATTCTGAATCAGCACACCAGGTTTAATCTAGAAGATTCAGAAACACAACCTCTGTCTTTATCTCTCTCTAAACCTCCTCATCTAAGAAAAAATAGTAGAAGTTGGCAGTTTTTGTTGGTTATCCCCATCATCTCTGCTTATCTTTAACGTAACATTTAAGAATGGAAAGGGAACCATCAGCAAAAGTTTGAAGAAGCATTACCTGCCATGGCTGTACCATCTGGAGTGTCTGGTGGTCCCCAGAAGGCATCCTCCTCTTACTCATTTGGGAGGAAAAGGCAGCACTGAGGACCCAGGCCACAACCTGGATTGTTGTGGAAATGCTTGAGCCATCCTCAGACAGGATTCTTCCAACCAGATCCAGGGATGGGATTTCCCAAGTCTTTTTTTCCAGGCATGTATTCCAAGCTTTCTTAGACAACAAAGGACTTGAATAAGAACACTGAAATGCTGCCTCCCCAAACTTCACTGTAGCAGAATAATGTGAATTAAAATCATAATATTGTGTCCTTTTCTTTGCCTTAGTTGAGAAGGATAATAAAAGATGGTTATGCTGGAGATTAAGCAATCGGTAGAAAAATCTCACACTTAAATCTGACAAAACTGTAGCAATCCATACTTTTTCCTCAAACAGGATTTTTGTCTTTTCAATGTTTTGTATTAATACTGCTAGTATTAATGTGGCATGAAAGTTCAACTGACAAACAATACTTTTCACTTTAGTGTCGCTAAAATATTGAACGATGTCCTTTTCCGTCACTGCTCTAAGAACCATGGGTAAGCTTTTTGAGAAGGCAACACAGACACCTTTCCTTACGGCTTCTGGCACAAAGGTTCTTCTGAACTTTTCTCCGCTTTCATCATCTGGAGCAGTGAGGGCGATCCACGTCCATCGGAAATGCAGGAGCAACTTGACAATTGCCAAGTGAGGAGGTTCTTGTTTTGGACTCACCCGGTAGAAAAAAGGGAAATGATGTTTCTGCTCTGGAATGTGGCTGATGACCCCATAGTTGATCTAAGATGAAACAGAAAATATGGTTGATTGCTTTCCTTTTAAGGACAAAAATAATTGCTTACCTCTAAGGTATATTTTTTTCTGATGCTAATCCTCTACTCACATATCAGCTGGTCAATTATATTCACCAAGTTATACAACTGCACAGAACTTTTCATTAGATATGCTGTTTCCCCAATAACAAATTGCTGTATTAAAGTGTTTCTCTTTTTGCTGTATTCTTTTATTGTAAAGGCTTTAAAATATATCATTTGATTTGCTTTGATGGTAGATTGGGGAAAATGGAACATCATGTGAACGCAGCAGAAAAAAATATGTCAGCTAGGTATGTTTTCATTGTCTTTAGGTGCAAGTAGGGAAAAACTCTCTTAAAGTAACATTTACTGTACCTATGTTATTTCCATTACAATCCTTGAGATTTTGTTTTGAATTAGTTGGAATAAGGGTGAAAAGATGTTTTTTTTCTCCCAAGACTGCAGTGACCAGAAGACAGGGAGAAGAGGCAGAAGAGTGGGAAAAGATGATGCAAATTTCATGCAAAGTATGGTTGAGAGCACTTCGGTTGAGCTATGGGTGAAGGTTCGTTCAGTTGAAAAATCTCTGTGTAATCTCTGTATCTTTAAAAAAAATCAAGATATGCACTCATGTACAAATGAGGAAAGGTATTTGAATGCCTGATGAAAATGGAATAGTTCAGGCGTCCTTTAAGCTCTGTAATCTGACTCATTTTATTTATTATCTGACCCCTTTTAGATTATCAGTGGACTTTACAAAATGAAATTAGCTTCAGTATTCATTCCTACTTGTGGAATTTTGTAGATGCCCAGCATAGTTGAAATGGAATAAAAGAGCTCCGAATCAGTCCCTTCAAGCACAGCCAGAAGATTATTTTGTCTTCCACAACTGTAGTTTGGGACATTCTCTTGCCCTGTAGACAGCAAGTCCATCATGACCTCATATGTTATCCTTGCATTGAAAAAGTTCTCATAGATGCTGTAGCCCAGGGTGATGTTGGGTAGCAGCTTTCGATTCTGGTTGATCTCATGAGTGGCAAAGAAGAAGGGCAGGACGTACCAGAAGCTCATACTTGGTATACTGCAAGATAAGAGACGTCAGTTGATTTTCATCTTCAATTCATAAAAACACATCATATTTCCTGAAACTGTTCCTTTAAGGACATTTATAACTAATCAGTTGGACTGCTGTCTTATAAGTCTAGTGCACAAATTTGACAATCTAACAATCTGAAGTTAGTTATGGAATGCATCACCCTCTTATATATCTGTTTGGTAGATTTTGGTTGACCTCATGAAGGGGAAAGCAAGAGAAGATCAGACCAAAAGCTCAATCCCTATATTTTAATGCAGGAAATATTCTCAGAAATTCATTGTTCAATAAAATAATGTGAGATTCCTGTATCATTCATTTTTTGTACCTTGCCAGGTGATAGAGTTTTTTGGGTCTTGCTATTAGAAGGATAGTCCTACTGCCCACAGAGGATTTTCTTTCCAATCCTTTTCTTCAGGGTCAAAATCATCCCAATTGGAAACTGATTGCAACCATTTTTTTCTCCTAACAGTGACTTAGAGGTACTGCCTTATCACAGAACCTACATTTTTATAATAATGGATGAACTGTCTTATCAACTGGATAGATTGATTTAAAATTCTCTTTGGAAAATCATTTTCATATAAAAAAACAGGGTTGTATGAAATAACTCTCTTTCTTAGCAATCTGATTTGATTTCTACTTAGAAGAATATTTACAGTAAGTGGAATTATTCTGGCAAAAGTTAGATATTTCTTTGTTGTTTATTGTTTGCTGCTTTGATAACTCAATTTAGTTGAAAGAGTGGCTTAAATCCCAGGAGTTAATCATCTTTGGCTTTGGATGGGTTGCATTGTCACAGGCAGACCTAGTACACAATCTGGGGATTCCCTGGACTTTTGGCTCCTGCAAAAAGAGCAGGAGGTAGCAGTTGTGGCTAGGAGAGCCTTTATTCAACTTTCTGTTATATATCAATTATGCCTGAGTTCTTCATTCCGTCACTTGTGCCCTGGTCACCTCCTATCTGAACTATTGCAATGTGCTCTACGCAGGGCTACTCTTGAAAAGTATCTGGAAGTTCAGATGGCACAGAATGTGGATGTGCCAGCAATTATGGACACCTAAAGGACTGCACATATAACACCTCTGTTGTGCAAGCTGCATTGGATGCCAGTTTACTTCTGGTGTTGGTTATGACCTTTGAGGTAATACATGGCATTGGGATAGGCTACCTATGAAACCATCTTCATCCCATTACTTTGGCCAATCTCACCTGGTCTAGTAGGAAAAGTATTTGCAGATCTCATCAGCTAAAGAACTCCAGTTCGTGAGGTCCAGGAAGAGAGCCTTCTCTGCCATTGTCCTTGCCCCTTGGAACTTTCGTCCACCAGAGATGAGGTGGGTACCCATTCTCCTGACTGTTCAGAAATCTCTGGTTCTGCTGACTCACTTGGGACCCACAGAGATGCACACAGCCATGGGGCTAGTTAGTGGCTTGAAGGACCTGCCCTGTCTTTTTAATTCTGAATTTTAAATATTTTATTCTTGTTTTAATCTGCCTTATATTATAATATCTACATTATCTATATTTTTATGTTTTATATCTTATTTGACAATGACCACAGTAACTGTGAGAAAGATAGGCAGTTTCTAAATGTGATAGGGATAGATAGATAGATAGATAGATAGATAGATAGATAGATAGATAGATAGATAGATAGATAGACAGATAGATACCATAAATAAAAATAGAAGAACTTTTTGCACTATTAGTCATTAGCTAAGATTAGCTTCGGGAAGTCCTGGGGGGGGGGTAAGGGGTAGGTTGGTGTTATAGATTTATATGTATATATATGTATGATTTTTTTAAGGAAGTGCCCGGTGGTACCCCAACTGCACGGACGGGATGGTTGAGGGGGAAAGGGAGGTAGGGAAGAGGGAGGAAGGAGGAGTGGTGGTAGGATAGTGAGGAGGAAGGTGTAAGTAAGTGACAGGGTGGTGCGGAAGGGGGACACCGGACACTTCCGTGAATGTATTGATTGGTGTTGATTTTTGTTTTTATGGTTGATATTGTGATAAAACACTTATGTTTTTGTTCTTTAATGAAAAATCAATAAAAAATTATTTTTTTAAAAAAAAGAAAGACAAAAATCTCAATTTAAAAAATGAGGTCTTTTTGTCCAAGCGGCTGGAGGCTGAGGGTCCTGGATAGGGTGCAGCAGGCTTCAGCTCAACTCAAACAAGATTGAGTGTCTTTGGGTGTTTGGACCTTCCATTGCCAAGACCTTTTCACAAGCAGTCAAGAAATATATCACAGACTAGCACTTAGTAAAGCAGCCATGAAGGCCTTGGAAAATATATTCAGATGCTATTATATGTCCATATCTATAAAGATCAGAATTGTTCAACTCATGGATTACCTGTAATACTCTATGGAAGTAAATGTTGGACTTTGAAGAAGCAGGAGAGAAAGCGTATTGCCACTTTTTAATTTCAGGGCTGGAGAAGACTCCTGAGTACTGTGGGCAGTCAAGAAAACAAGGAAATGGAACACCAAACAATTCAACCAGAGTGCTCACTTGAAGCACAAATGACCAGGCTCAAATTATCTCAGTTTGGAAATATTATATAAAGTGTTAACTCTCTGGAGAAAGTTATAATACTGGGAATGTTGGAAAGAAAGAGAAGAAGATAACTAAAAACAATGGGGCTGGATTCAGTTACAGTGGCAATGAATGTACCCTTGAAAATTTGAAAGAGCAGGTTAGGGACAGAACATCATGACGATTTAGCTATGTAATCAATAAAAGTCTGCACTGACTTTATGCACACAATGAACCAAAATCAATTAATAAATCTTGAGCTATTGTTTTATATTTGAATATAACTCATGTGCTCTTCTTTCAGTCTAGTCTGGGTTATTTTAATGGACCTAAGGCGATTACCAAATTAGATGATTGCTGACTTTGTTCAGTATCCTGAACCAATGCAAAATTAGAAAATGAACTCCTCCAAGATCTTTTTTTAAAAATAGGCTTCCTTATCTCCTTATAGGGAGAACTAAAAGACCAGATTGATGATAGATCTTGACAAACTTGAACACTGAGCCCTATCTAACAAAATGAAAATCAGCATAGATAAAAGTAAGGTTTTACACTTAGGCAAAAAAAAAAATCCAACTGTGTAGCTATAGACTAGGTGAAACTAGGTTCAATACCAATAACTGTGAGAATGGATCTTGGAATCTTAGTGAACAATCACTTAAATATGAGCCAGCAGTGTGCTGCAGCAAACAAAAAAGCTAATATAATTCTTGGTTATATAAACACAGGCTTCACATCAAAATCATGTGAAGTATTAGTATTGCCTTATAAAACCTTAGTAAGACCACACCTGGAATAAAGCATCCAGTTTTAGTCACTACATTAGAAAAAATATGTTGAAACTTTGGAAAAGTACAGAGAAGAGCAACTAAGATGACTGAAGGCCTGGAGATTAAAACATGAAGAACAGTTGCAGAAATTGGGTATGGCTAGTGTAGCGAAAAGAAGAACTAGGAGTGACATGATAGCAGTATTCAAGTATTTGAGGGGCTGCCACAAAGAAGAGGGAGTCAACTTATTTTCCAAAGCACCAGAAGGCAAGACAAGAAACAATGAATGGAAACTAATCAAGGAGAGAAACAATCTGGTATTAAGGAGAAATTCCTAACAGTGAGAACAATAAACCAGTGGAGCAGCTTGTCTTCAAAAGTTGAGGGTGCTTCATCATTGGTGATTTTTAAGAAGTGACGGGACAGCCACTTTTCTGAAATGGTATAGGGTCTCCTGCCTGAGCAAGGGGTTGGACTAGAAGACCTCCAAGGCCCCTTCCAGTTATATTCTACTCTAATTTTAAGATTGAGAATAGATTATCCTCAATAAATTCTATCTGCATGGTTGTTCTAAGACTTTGACATGATGGTCCTTAATATTACCAATATCCTCCAAGGGATCTAGTGACTCCTGTGCTCCATCTAAGGCAGCTAGAAGTTTCAAAGGCTAAAGAGGGGCTTCAGCTTGGGAGAAATAAAGTTCCTCTTTGACTGTGCTTGATGAAAAAAAGGGAAGACCGATGTTCTAGTAGAGCTCTCTTCTTCTAATAATCTGAGGGTTGGGACAGATTATTCTGGAATAACACTGTGCATCTTGGAAAATCTCCAACTTTGTTCTTCATTATTACTCCTTTTTTTTTCTTCTGTTCAATTGTGATCAATTCTTGGAGACTGCCTGGATAAGTTCCTGCAGTTTTCTTGGCAAGGTTTTTCCAGAGTGGTTTGCCACTGCCTCCTTCCTAAGGCTGAGAGAAAGTGACTGGCTCAAGGCCAACCAGTGGAACTAGAGTTCATGTTCTTCCAGTTTCTAGCCTGAAGCCTTAATCATCACTTGTTATTCATATAATAAGGAGATAGAATAACTCTCATCTCTCCAAGGCTGACTAGACTGCTTACTCCTTTTGATAACTTTTACATCTTTTTGTTTCTTTCAGAATGTTTTCCAACAATACCCTATCATGTTTCTGAATTTTGCATATCAGCTTGCAAAATTAAGAATAAAAATTCACCAGTCATGATAGAACCTGCCCTTGCACAGATGCATTGGTCAGTACTGCACTGAATTCACCTAATCAAATCAACAACAACTTTTTACGTCAAGACATAATAACAACAACTACTTACTAGAAATGGATTTTTCTTAGGAGCAACTGAAATCACTTCTACTAAATTGAATGCCCTTCTAAATAAGATGGATGGTGTTTTCACAGTCTTTAGATATCCTACACCAGTGTTTCTCAACCTTGACAATTTTAAGGCATGTGGACTTCAACTCCCAGAATTCCATAGCCAGCAATGCTGGCTTTGGAATTCTGGGAGTTGAAGTCCACATGCCTTAAAATTGTCAAGGTTGAGAAACACTGTGTCAACGCTGCAAATACTGTATATTCTTGCTTTGACAATATGCAGAGCTGTCTGGCATTTTTATAGTTAAACCAGGCAGAA